GAAAATTCCACAAAATCATTGGGGAGTTGGAATTGATTGAAACTTTGTCCACTTAGAACGTTTGTATTTTTCTAGAAAAGTTCACAATTTCAGCCTTTGAGCTGTTGGAGTTTGAGAGTTATTAATTTTGAAAGGTAGACATGCAAAACTGCGATTGATGACACTTTTTAAAAATAGGAAGTTTGGAAAATTCCACAAAATCATTGGGGAGTTGGAATTGATTGAAACTTTCTCCACTTAGAACGTTTGTATTTTGCTATAAAAGTCCAGAAGTTCAGCCTTTGAGCTGTTGGCGTTTAAGAGTTATTAATTTTGAAAGGTAGACTGCAAAACTGCGATTGATAAAACTTTTCAAAAACATGAAGTTTGAAAAATTCCACAAAATCATTGGGGAGTTGGAATTGATTGAAACTTTGTCCCCTTAGAACGTTTGTATTTTTCTATAAAAGTTCACAATTTCAGCCTTTGAGCTGTTGGGGTTTGAGAGTTATTAATTTTGAAAGGTAGAAATGCAAAACTGCGATTGATGGAACTTTTCAAAAACATGAAGTTTGGAAAATTCCACAAAATCATTAGGGAGCTGGAATTGATTGGAACTTTGCGCACTTACAAAGTGAGTATTTTTCTATAAAAGTTCAGAATTTCAGCCTTTGAGCTGTTGGGGTTTAAGAGTTATACATTTTATAAGGCAGGCATGCAAAACTGCGATTAATAGAATTTAAAAAAAAAGTTTGGAAAATTCCACAAAATCAAAGGGTAGTTGGAATTTATTGAAATCGTGTCCACTTAGAGCGCTGGGTTTTTTCTATAACAGGACAAAATTGCAGCCCTTTGGCTCTTGGGCATTAAAAGTTATGCATTTTTCTAGACTTGCGTGCAAAACTGACGTTGGCATTATTTTTCAAGAGGAAATTTGGAAACTCTTTTACGATAAATGGGGAGTTGGAATCCATTGCAACTTTGCGCGCTTTTGCTTTATGCTTTGCTTGTATTAAAATCGAGAATTTCAGTCTGTCAGCTGTTGGAGTTCGAAGCTAATTCATTTTTAGAAACTTGCTGGCCAAACTGGGATTGCAGAGGAAAGCACCGAGCAAAACGGCTCTAGTTCCTCCAATTTTCCAGCTCCATCTAATATTTGACAAAAACATATCGTTTTGTTGATTTTCCTTTGAATCTTGTTGATACATTTTTCTTCATCTTTAGTAATTAGCTGCATATTTCATCATTGAACCTTCTGAAAGCCAACCAACCTGTATGATTTCATGCGGCCCGTGCTTCGCACCCGATCAAATGTCAAGTGCACGTTTCCAATTGCATAACATTTAAATAATTAATGCCGTTATTTATCGGAATATTTAAGAGCCAGGTGTCTTGCATCACGGTGCCCGTTCAATCCCATAATTGCTTGGTAGTTTAAAATCTTTCCGTATGGGATAACGGTACTGACCATACATATTTTACGTAACAATGTATCGGTTCTTGTCCACCAGAAGACCATTAACGACAGCGAGCAATAAATCGGCCAATGGAAATGTTTCATTGAAATGCTACATTGTGCCTATGAAGTTATGGGTGCTTGCCGCTCTCAGAATGTGAAAGTAATAAAATTTATACTAAGATTTAAATTTATTTGTTTAGTCTATTCTTATAAAACTTTGCTAGTTTGTTTGGACAAAACTAATCCAAATTAGTGTTGACCGTAAATTTGCGACATAAATTTACATTGATTGCCAATATGTACTTTGTTGGCTGATGACTGAATATAATTCAATTACACGGCGTATTCAGTCGATTCAGTACGGGCCGAATTAAACCTGAACCATCAGCCTCCGATAGCCGCAACTTTGCAAAGTAATTTCAATTTCGAAACGTCCAAACAACGTCCACAGACAAAGGAAAAGAGCAACCCACACCTTCTTTAATTTGGCATTTAGCTTTGAAAAAATCCTTTCCGCCAATTATCGTCCATGCATGATTCACCTTTTATACCATTTACGACGCAATATTCACTAATCGTTAAGCTCGATTGTTATGCCAAATGGAGGCGATGGAAAACAGGCAGAAGTCGTAGAACTTTAGAAAACCTAAGTCTTTTAGGAAAATCGTCACTGGAAAAGTGCCATTTTTAACGGCAAAATTGATGTTTAATAGTCATAGTCAGGAGTTTGTTTCTATTCTTCGGCTCCTTCACTGCTTTTTTATTTTTATTCGTTGCCTAATTTTGCATTGTTTAATACAGCAGAAACCTATTTAAAGTGATTTCGATTCGTTCATATTTGTGATGTTTTTAGTGTCAGACTCTTAAATAATCTATTTCTAAACTTCTTGTTTATCTGTGAGTCTGTGGACGATTTTTCAACTACTTCAAAAAATCAAGTCAGGTTCAAGTGTACTTTGATAAAGTTTGAAAATTTCCAGAATTCCAGAATTTATTCAAGCGACTGCACTAATAAACACAGAGTTTTCCACCAATTTCCCAAAATTCAGCCTTCTAACCGTTTAAGTTTTGGAGTTATCAATTTTTATGGACTGGCCTGTGGGATTCTCACAAATTCTCGGGAAGTTTTGAAAATTCTAGTCAATCAACTGGTTGTTGGAATTAATTACAATTTTCCAAAATTTTATTGTCTTTTTCTTTGAAAGTCTTTCAAAATTTCAGCTTCATAAGCGCAGAAGTTTGGAAAATCTATTTTTTAACAAAAAGTTGTAAAATTTGAAGAAGCCCATGGGGAGTTGGCTTTGATTGGAATTTTTGAACCCCGTAAAAGTTAGGCTTTTTCTATAAAACTGCAAAATGTTACCCCTTGGCCTTTTGGAGTTAGAAACTGAGGATTTTTGAGACGCAAGCCAACAAAATTTGGGTTCAGACTTGCTAATCGACTTTTTAACACAAGGTTTGGAAGTTCATAGCGAGTTGGAATTGGTTGCAACTCGGTCAACTTTGAAACTTAATCTTCTGCAATAAAAATTTGAAGTTTCAACATTTTAGGTATCGAGCTCGATAGTTACAAATTTCTAAAAACTTTTAAACTGATTTTACTTTTTTTACAAGAAGTTTGGAAAACTTTACAAAATCAATGGGGAGTTGAGATTGCTTGAATCTCTGTAAACTTTAAAGCTTTATCTACTGTAATAAAAATTCAAAGTTGAGAGTTCGACAGGTATGAATTTTTAAAGGCAGGTTTGCAAATTTGGAATTGAGATCCCAAAATTTATATTACTCAAATTTTGCATTTTTTTGAAGCAATCTTAGAAGCCCGTTTTATTGCGACGCCCTCAAGTGGAAACCTTTGCCTTATTTGGAAGATCTTTCGGTAAAACCAATGCTTTTACATAGTTTGCGTTGTTAGAATCATCGTCTTTCTTTGGACTCCCGGTATATTCATTCTCGCGCGTTCCAATAAAAGATAAAGCGCAAATAAATCAATCAAGTTCTTGAGAATGCTGACAATGAAAGGTAGCTTTTAATTTTTTCAGCTTCGTGGTGTGTGGGTGTAGTTTAATTTAAATTACATTGAATTTAAATTATGCAACCTTTTTAGTATAAACGCAGACTTATTGCTGGAGAGAACTGTGTGAATCAAATTGAGCCCAAATCGGAAATTACAATGGCAAACATTTCCATTAAATTTCCTTGAAAAAATTGCTGTATATTTAATGAACTATTTAGATTAGCTTCTTGAAGCATGACAATACTGGTCGAAAAATACGATTTATTATTAATGTTAAATCGGTTGAGACCGTGGCGATTTTCGCAATGATTTCGATCTAAATTATTGGAAAAATGCTGAAATTTAATGGAAACGCTTTGAAAGTTGAGCTTGGAAAAAATGAGCCTACCTTGTTAGCGACAAAAAATTCGGCGCAAAACTGCAACTTGGTTGGGGCTATCAAAGAATGAAAGAACCACTAGTTTAGAACTTCAAATTGAACCTGAGCTGGTGAGTTACACTGCACTGGACACTAAAGTTATGGCGTGCGCGAGATGGTAGAGCAATTTATACGCGGGGAAACCCCTCCCCAACCAGTGCATCATTATAGGCCTCTCAGGTCAAGTTTGAAGATTCTGCTGATCGCTGGACGCTTCATTCGCTTTCCCAGATTTTTTACCGCAAGCTGATCTGATCAATTTCTGCGTAATTTTAATAACGCTGCCTTAAATCGCCCCTCAAGCCCTAACAGAACCACCCGTTTTACCGAAGGTAATATGGATGGTGTCACTAGTCATCCAGTTTGCATCATATGATTTTTTTAGGAAAAGTTTGAAAAAAAAACGTTTTGAAGCCAATTATTTGTGTTTTTGTGTTGAAGGTTTTGGAAAAGTAACGAAATTACATTAAAACAAATTAGTGAGCATTTTGATTGTGAAAAATGGTCGGGAAAAGGTTTGAAAAATTGGTCTAAAATCAGCAGAGCCTCAGAATTGCTTCAAGCTTCAGTATTTCAATACACTAAGGGTTCTTTATCAATTTTCCGGCATTCAAATTTCTAGCTGCTGTAGTTGTCAATTTTTATAGACTTTTTTATTTATATTTTTATAGGCGTGCGGTACGCGCATTGTCATCATTCTCAAGAGAGTTTTAAAAATTCTGCAAAATCATCGGGGTTATAGAATTGAGTTCAGTTTTCTGGACTATGAAAAACTGTCTTTTTGCTCTGGAAGTTTAGAATTTTGGTCTTCTATCAATGGGAGTTTGGTAGTTGTGTAGGTTGATAGGCAGACATGCAAGCTTGGGATTGATAATTTCAATCAAAAAGTTTGGGAATTTATATAAAATCAGCCGAGATCTAGAATTAATTGAAACTTTCTATACTTTAAAAAACTGTCTTTTTCTCTGGAATTTAAAAGTGTTGGTCTTCTAGCAATGGGAGTTTTGTAGTTGGGCAGGTTCATAGGGAGGCATGCAAACTTGGGGATGGATAATTTTTGTCAAAAAATTTCGAAATTTATATAAAGTCAGCAGAGATCTAGAATTACTTGCAACTTTCTAGACTATGAAAAACTATCTTTTTTTCTCGAAAGTTGAAAATTTTGGTCTTCTAACTATGGAAGTTTTGTAGTTGTGTGGGTTATAAGCAGAGGTTCAAACTCGGAATTGAGACTTTAACAGATSGTTTGGGAATTCCACGAAAATTAGGCGAGATCTAGAATTASTTGCAACTTTCTAGACTGTGAAAAACTATCTTTTTTTCTCGAAAGTTCAAAATTTTGGTCTTCAAACTATAGAAGTTTTGTAGTTGTGTGGGTTATAAGCAGGCGTTCAAACTTGGGATTGAGATTTTTTAACAGGAAGTTTGGGAATTGCTACAAAATTAGTCGAGATCTAGAATTACTTGCAACTTTCTAGAATGTGAAAAACTATCTTTTTTTCGAAAGTTCAAAATTTTGATCTTCTAACTACGGAAATTTTGTAGTTGTGTGGGTTATAAGCAGGGGTTCAAACGTGGGATTGAGACTTTTCAGTCCCAACTTCTAAACAGATCGTTTGGGAATTTCCACAAAATCAACCGGACAATAGAATTAATTGAAACTTTCTAGACTATGAAACTATTTCTTTATTCTCCGGAAGTTGCAAGTTTTGGCTTTCTAACTACGGAAGTTTTGCAGTTCTGTAGGTCTAGAGGCAGACGTGCAAACTTGGGATTTACACTTTTTAACAAATGGTTTTGTAAATTTCTGCAAAATCAACCGGGAGATAGAATTAATTGAAACTTTCTAGACTTTGAAAGATTGTCGTTTTTCTCTGGACGTTTAACTTTTTGGTTTTCTAACTATGGCAGTTTTGTAATTGTGTAGGTTCATAGGCAGGTGTGCAAATTTGGGATTGAGATTTTTCAACAAATAGTTTGGGAATTTCCACAAAATCAACCGGGCTATAGAATTAATTGAAACTTTCTAGACTATGAAATAATTTATTTATTCTCTGGAAGTCAAAGTTTTGGTTTTCTGACTACCGGAGTTTTGTAGTTGTGTAGGTTTATACGCGACGTGCAAACTTGGGATTGAGACTTTTTAACAAATGGTTTTGGAAGTTTCTGCAAATTCAACCGGGAGATAGAATAAATGCAACTTTCTACACTACGAAAGACTGTCTTTTTCTCTGGACGTTCAACTATTTGGTTTTCTAACTAGTTTAAAGTTTGCAACTTGGGATTGAGGTGACTTTTAACTGGAAGTTTGGAATAATTTCTAAAATCAGTGGGCAGTTGGATTTGAGTGAATTATTGCACATTTAGAAAGTATCGCTTTTTCTGTAAAGGTACGAAACTTCATCCTTTGAACTTGGTTAGTTTAAGAGTTACAAATTTTTTAAACCTTTTTTACAACACTGGGCTTGGGTTTTAACGTTAAAAATTTCGACAAAGTCAATGAGGAGTTGGAATCGACTGAAACTTTGCACACTTGGAACTGTTGCTTTTGTTGTTTGAGATCGATAGTGATCAAAGTGTTTTTCTATAAACATGAAACTAGAGCTATAAAAAATTATTGGAGTTGATGGCAAATCTAGATGCTTAAAAATGGCAAATTCCCAAAATGTAAATTTGGCCAAGTCAGCGCGAGAAAAATCTACCTGAAGCCTCACATCGTGACTTGAAATTTCCATAAAAAATCCATAGAAACGTGTTTCATTCGAACGCTAAAATACCGCAACTTTAAGCAGAGTCGTAATTCATCTATTGGAATGCTGAGCTGTACCAATCGTCTGGAATCGACGATTATTTGTCTGCTACTAATTTCCCAAACGTTTTTATGAAAAATCCAGTTTTTGCAGGATTTAATTGACAATGCATTAACTGGACTAAATTGCTGTCCTGTTTTACTTCGTTGATATCAGTACTGTTCTTGCATTATTAGTAAATTCCTTTGCATTACATTGCTTCATTTGGCTCTGTAGTAAACTTACAGAATATTACACGAAATGTACGAAAGAAAATTGGTTACCAAATGAACTTTTACAAATGCACTGTGACTAATGAACATGTTTATGGGCGTTTATCAGCAGCATGTGGACCGAATGCAATAATGACTTTGTTATCAACTTCAAATGAGGTAAAAACAATCAGGGTTTTTTCAGTTTTCAGATTTTCTTCTTTGACTTTGAGTGTATTGCACCAATTCTTTGACCGTTTGAATACCGTAATTTGCCATTTTTTGTTGAAACGAACGAAGGGTTAAATCGTTGCAAAAATTGATGATTTTTTGCTAAATTCTCTCCACACTTTTCTTATTCACTCAAAAAAATCGTTCATCCTTTTCGAAACTTCTAAAAGCATCAGTTTTTTATTAATAGTTCAAAGGCAAACGTAGATTAACTCTAAAAAAATTAGTTGCACTAACAATACTGTTTTTAAAGGTTTTCCCCAGCAAGATGATGATGATTCATAATTCGCGACTGCAATAATTAAATCATCTGTTGACGTATTATTATTATTTGCTCTCAATTAGTGTACATGAGCACGTATAAGTGAGGCAATGAGGTGAATGGTTATTATATGTTTATTATTTACATTCAATTGGTCTGGTTTACAGGCCTTGACAATGGCATTCAACATCTGACCGATATAGTACGTATATGAAGTGCAGTAAATTATCCGATGTTTTTTTTTCTCAATGGTTGAGGAGATTGACACCAGAAAAACGTTATAATTTTCTGGCAAAGGCGCTTTTTGTGTGTGTTTGGTTTTTTATTTCTTCACTTTCAAAGCAAAACAGATAGGGCTAGAATTTAGAACTAAAAATCCGTGATTAGTTAGGTTCAAGTGTACTTTAGTAAAGTTTGAAAAATTCCCAAAAATCAGCCAATTCCCGGGATTAAATGAGATTAACGCGCTTTAATAAACAAAGGTTTTTTCTAAAAAGTAGCCGAAATTCCAGCCGTCCAGCGGCTTTAGGTTTGGAGTTACCAATTTTTATGGAATGGCTTGCGGGACTGTGGTTGTCATCACTTTTCAGGCGAAAGTTTAGAAATTCTTGAAAATCAACCGGCGGGTGGCATTATTTGCAACTTTCCACACATCGAGATACTTGATTGTTCTATGAAAGCTCAATATTTCAGGTTTTGTAGATGGTATTATTTCCAACAAGAAGTTTTTAAAATGCAAAGAGTTGCAAGTGAATGCAATGGTGCACACTCTAAAAGCGTGTTTTTTCTGGCTGTTTGATTTTTCGAGACTTACTTGCAAAATCAATTTAATTCCAGAATAGTTTTTTGCAGCAATTAAACTAAAGAGACGCTTTACAATGCCAGCAATTTTCTTCGTTGTAGTTTAGTCTAATCAAAGCGCAAATGTGCATTTTATCGTCAAAACAAGGAACTTTTCAATAAATTGCTTTTTTGGTTTTCCACTTGTTCACCATTAACGTTGTTACTGAATCTGAACTTAAACGCTGAAACGACATCAGAAACAGCATTTTGTTAATGAATTATACATTCATTGAATGCAATTTTAATAATCCCCTGATGGTTTTCCCTGAATGTTAATAAAAGACGCATCCTTTATATTCCATCGAATCACGTTTGTTGAATTAAATATTTTCTACAATTTCTATTTATAAGCATCCTTTGATAGCCGCAGTGTAATTGGCATTTATCACTGTTTTATTTATGTTTTTCATTATGGACTGCACTGGAAACCCATATTCAAATTTGCACATCGGCTGCCACTAAAAAGTCTATTCTCCGCAGAACAATATTGGGAAGATTGATTCGATAGCGTGATTATGCACGTTACAAAAATACACGTTTAATGTGCCTAATTAATTTCAGACATTCGGTATAAATTATTACCATTAGGAAAATAATTCCAAGAATTGTTTCTTTGTTACTTCTCGACCTTAAGAACTAATTATGGCCGGTAAATCTTAATTGGTTTTACTATATGAACACTTACCTGGTCATTATTTCATATAGAGATTAGATTGTAAATCATTTAGCAACGTGGCCACAAACAATGATCTTGACTAATTGCATTCATTAATTAAAAGTCTTT